ACTGAGCGCTTCAATGCGCGGACAACTTGCCACGAGCCTCTCAAGCTCTTGAGGCGTATACCGTTCGACATTTCCCGTATAGAGACCTCTGTACTCGTAAAGATTGGGGAAGTGATCAATGTGCAGGTAGCGCAGAGATTCTCCGTGGCGGCAGATGCTACCAATAGACGGGCGCATGGCCTTGATTGTGGTGATGCAGAGAGTCTCGAGTGTCGGAACGGCTTCAAGAAAGTGTTCGATTTCGGTGTTGAATGGCTTCTCTCCTTCCAGACCGTTCAATTGTCGGAAGATGACTGAGTTGAGTGCGGGCTTATCGCATTTGAGAAACTCATCGGCGAGGCACTGTACGGTGCGCGGCATATCCGAACAGTTACTCAGAAGCAGACTTTGTAGGCTACTCAGGTTGGTCATACCGCCGAAGCAATCTCCTTGCTCTTCGATGAAAGCAGAGTGAATTTCGATATTGCGTAGATCCAAGAGCACTTCCAGTTTTGGCATACTCCAGGAGTAGGGTCTTCCGTTGTGTGCATCTTGAGCCTTGGGTTTGATTGCGAGTCTTCGGAGAACGGGAGTGAAAGCCAAGCATTTGGCATCGGCATGGCGATCTGCTTCTTGTGGTAGAAGTGTCAAATCTTCCAGCTTATCTAGATTTCCTGTGAGTAGCTTGTCGTGCAGGGTCGTTGAGGGAAACGAAAGTTTCGACAGCTGAGATTGAGTCTTGAGTATAAGACCAACCGTACGTTCGTCAAAGTCTAGCGTGGTCGTAAACGCTCGAAGGCTGTTTCGCGGTAGCGCGCACAGAAGCTGTACAAAACGACTTGAGATTTCCGTAGTGGTGGGGAAAGGTTCTTCCCCATAATTGCATCCGTCAATATCCAGCTCCTTGATCATGTCCAAAATGTCATCTGAACGAAGTAGCGCATCGATTGTGCTGCCTTCATCGAGATTGGTCGTGAAGGTGTTCCAAAGTACTGTGCCAGCTACAGAGCTCCATGCTTTGTCGATCAGGCGGGCATGTTTTTGATCATCGTACGGAAGCTATATTTCCGTTAGCAATTGGACGTCACATCGCATAAAGACAGGAAGCGTTTATGGCTGCTTACAAGTTCGCAGATCATGTGTCTCAGCTCAGTCGGCAAGACCTTGGTATGATCGAGCATAGCAGGTGCCGTCATCGTAGGAGCTTGATACGCTTGTCGGTTGCGCGGTTCGCAAGGAAATGTATGGTTGAAAGTAGCCCAGCTATGTGAGTAGAGATAAGATCAGTTCTGTGGAGGTAAAGAAGTCAGGGGAACGAGCAACGCTACTTCTATATGTGCAGGTCCGTTTTCACCAGGCAACGGACGTGCACAGGTCTGCTGTTGAACGCACTGACTTCTTGCTCCGGTGAAAGTACCGAGTCTGGACAGACAACGAAAGCCGTTCTACAGGAGGGCGCCTCGAGCGCCCTCTGCCGAAGGCCTTGGCCGGGACACTACGCGGCGTTGAAGACTGCACTTCGAGATTCCAGCAGTGAAGTTATCAATACTGTTGTCTTTCTAATTGCTGTACTCTGTGGTCAGTGTCAAGAGTTATAGACGTTGCCCAGTGTTGATATCGAATGGTGAAAGGAACGATCGATCAGGAGCTGTGGCAACACTCGACGCGCTGGCACTACGCGCTCACATCACAATCTTCCGTCGATAGTACGGGTCTCGACTGCAGAAAAATCGCGCGCATCGCAGTTGTAATGAAACTGTTGATAGAATTACGATACCCTGCTTCGTTCAAAGGTCATTCCGCATGCTCCTCGCTCAAGTCTTGCTGTAAACCAGTAAATGGTCAAACAGCTGTCGGCCGTGAAAGTATCCACCGTGCGCCGTAGTCGGCGTCGGCGTCACAACCTCGGTAAAATCATTCCCTAGGAGCGCTTTGACTTGCGCACGAACTTGGTCGAGAAGTTCAATATCCAGTATCTCGCCAGCAAAGTCATCAAGATGGAAGAGCTCAATTTCGAGCGTTTGGAGTTTCGTGCACACCCGGATGAATTGACTGTAGGGGAAATGCACTTTGACACGAAATTCCACTTCGTGGTACTGCATTTCATCGCGTCTGAAGCCAATACTGGGAAAGGCAAGAGCGATCTTGAGCGACTGAGTTTGCGGTGCATTTTCTACGTGATTAACGAGCGATTGAAGCCACTCTTTTTCATCTCTTGCGAATGAAACATGTATTGTGCCATCGTATCGGTGAATGATAGAGAACGTATGGACTGGACGTTCGAATGGTAGGCGAGCGAATGATATGGAGTTGGCGAATTTGGGGCTCATAATCATCGTGTCTGGTGGATCTAGTCGATGGTTGCGGACGTCGATAGAACCCATCGGCCAGAGGTTCCAATGCGCCTGTTTCCGGAATACATCGATAGCTTCATCTACGAATCTTTTACTCGTCAACAGCCAGATAGGTAAACAGGCATGTTGACCTGGACGCCACAGAGGTTTTTGGTATCTAGCTGCGGACCAAGCCTCCCGAGTTGTCAAGTCGCTTTCGTCCAATACCGTTCCATCGTAGTAAGCAAGGATACCAGTCTGACTTTGTGTATGATAGGCTGCGATGCGGTTATTCATCTTCCAGAGTTCGTCATAGACCATGTTGCGGAGTTCCGGCGGAAGCTCGAAGAACTCCAATATCATATCCGGGCTTGTCAAACGAGCTCGAGCTTTGATATTCCCCCTTTTGCCTCTTTTCCCTTTGCTCTTCGCCATCTGTAAATCTCCGCGGAAATTGTGCGTCGACTGAGAGGTGTAGGAACGTACTACTATTGCGAGATAAACGCAACCGCTTTATACAGCTCACGGGAGGTTTGGCGTCAACGCAGCAAGCGGACGAACCTTGAAACGTATAGTCACGAGGACCGCAGGCCGGATGAGATCTTTCTCACGCGTTCTGGGCCGTGCTTGTCTCCTCGACATACTCGCATATGTTCTCAGTACGATGTGCACGTTTCGTGACCGGGCGCGTTGGATGTCTGAAGCATCGGGCAAGCCATCGACGCAACACCAGGCCATGCTCTGAAAGCCTTTTGCTTGCCCTCTATTTCTCCTTGTATGTATTGCGAACCGTGAGGCGCAAGTGATCTATGTGGTTAGGAGTGATTGGACTGCGAAGGACGAGTAGAGAGACCGACGTTGGGAGGCTTCCGAGGTTGTACTGCGATGCGACATTAACTCTCACCAATACAAGCTGCAATGATACTCCGCCCGCAAGCTATGTCGCTACACGTCTTCTCCGACCTTCTTGATGCATGTCTCCATTAAAGCGTTCTGCGCGTGGGTACAGTCCATTTCAGGGTCAAGAAGACTGATGTCTTGATGATGCCCAACCCTGGAGGTGTCGTGATGCGCGATACGGATCCTGGTGGTTGTGCTGCTCGTAGAAAATGGTGCATATTGACCACGAAGCGTGTACACCACGGTGCGCAGAAATGCGCGTGTAGGCTGCATGTAGGTGTGAAGTACATTGAAGGTCGAGCAAGGGTGTGGCTAGATGTGAGAGATCGCTGGGCGCGCGAGCAGCCCAGCATGCTAAGTGCCAGATTACATAAGACGGGAAGATCGTCATGTCGCAACCTCACTTCTCCCACCAAAGGCTCTTCGTGAGCGCCGCTTACAAGTACTTCGATTCTTCTGGTCTCCTCACAGTAAGATAAATTGAACATTTTTCGATATACTAAGACCCTGAGTAGGTATCACAGGGCACGATCAGTCCATGATCTGGGAATCTCTAGACCTTCTAAGCTCATGCTGACAAAGTCTGTAGACGTTCGCGCATAATCCTCGTACCAATAATAGCCATAGTTGTGCAAACCACAGCTCATTCTTTCGCACTTGCGACGACATTTGCTAGTTTGGACGCATGGTCCGCTCATAACAGATCGTGTAGTCAATTGTGCTCCCCATCAACACGAAACGTTCATGATGAGATCAGGCTGCAGTGTCGACCTCTTTTAAGATACTACTTACGACGTGCTGCACCCTCCGCCGATAATTAAGCAATGTAATCAACACATCCTTACATTGGATGTGAGCAATCGCTCCTGCGATTCCAGGAAGAGTTGGATAGCCCCACCAGTAATCTGTTCCGCCACAATCTCGACCCCACAGTCCAAAAATTCTCATCGCAGTCTTTCGTTAGCCACCACCTTCCAACTGCTCTGTCGATGTAGAAGCGTGCTACCTCGATCGCGTCGCATGACGGCAATATGTTTGGCTGAAAGGTATGTTTCTTCATCGAAACAACAATCTTCAATAGTATAGTGGTCAGTATTTCCGCTTGTCATCTCGGCCTTCTGGCTCTTGATAATTACGCGGGAGACCTGGGTTCAATTCCCAGTTGGAGAGCTTTCAGTCAACTTTCTTTTTGCCGTTTTTTTTTTCGCCCATCCTCTTTCACTCTGAGCTCGCGGTGAAGACACAGCTACGGACAGCAGCCATTTCTTTTTGCAAAACTACACGTGATAGACACCTAAAAGACTATGGCTAGGCGGCCACTCCCCCAGTACCGTGCTAACGCTTAGAGCGCGCTCCTGCGCGTCAGCCCTTTTCACCTTGGGATAGTGAAAACCACAACGCCGCTCTCACGGTGATATCGCACTACCGAGCCTTGGCATTACACTTGATCGCTCAACCGCCCTCGCCCTCACGGTCGCCTACTTTCGATAGCCCAAAACATCGCGGATACCTCGCGGTCCACCCAGATCACCGGCGCCCACCGACACCTTGATCAAGGCATCATCTGAACACCCTGGAGCCTACATTGACGCCGGAGAACTCAGATTTACTTGTTCCATCGTAGTGTAGTCTGCAGACCTGGCTAGGCTCATACGAGACATGGCGACAGATCACATTGGCCGACTGCCCGCGGAGCTGAAATGCGCAGTCGTGCGCTATCTGGTCCTCAAGGATCGGCAAGCAGTCTCGCTCATAAACAGAGATTGGGCCGTCGTCGCGATGCCCATAATGTGGGAGACCTTTACTACAGATCTCCTAGCCAACACTGGTTCACGAAATGTGCTCGGTCTAGCGTCGCCCGCCTCGAACATCGTCAAGCATGTCCGCCAAATTAACCTTCTGGACCGACCAAAGGCGTTCAAAGAAGCGGACCAGCTGCCACAATTGCTGGCTGCCATCCCTCGCGGTCAACTATGTGGCTTCAAGAGCGGAAGTGGGGTACCTATCAGGTAAGTTCTGACTGTACGAAGTGCATGTGAGACATATACTGACTTCGTACCTCTACCTCTGCAGTACGCTCGAGCTCCTACTGCAGATACACCCGGAACTCGAACATTTTATCATCCCTGGTACCCAGATGTCGCAGATATTACAGTCGCCCTGGACTGGTTCATCCTTATCAAGCCTCACCCGGACGGAAGTCTCACCAAATACTATCACCCCACGAGAGTTTCGGGAGCTATGGGTGCGATGTCCTAAGCTGACGCATATCCGTATGATGCAGAGTGAAACTGTCACGTCGACGTCAATCAACTTGGACGAAGGTTATTTCGGGGTCGATACAACATCTGCAGTCTCACAAGGTGGATCAGACACGACGCAGTCGGACACGGTCAGCCTTCGACTAAGCAGCCTTCATATCGGTGCTCTCATCCTCCCTGCGACTTTTGGCACCATGTTCCAGCGGATAGACATCATTGCTCTTACCGAACTCGTCCTCGATGGTACCGCACGCGTCGCTAAACTCTTGGAGTCCATGGGCTCGGACTTCCAGAAGCGAGAACCCTCTCTGAGGAAGCTACGGCTTTCCAAGAAGAATGAGGGAGAGTCAAATCAGACCAAATCGCAACTACAGCTGTTCCTGCTCTCCTTCCACGGACTACGCCAGCTACACTTCGAGTGCAACGACTGCACCAAGATCGATGTGGATGCCATTATCAACCACGGAGAGACACTCACTGATCTACTCGTCGTCAATGGAGGTATGCATCGGCAAGATGCGACTAAATGTATGAGCGCGGAAGATCTGCGGAAGGTCGCGACCGCATGTCCGAATCTAGAGCAACTATGCCTCAACCTATACGAGATCGATCCGGATACACCAGAAGGAGACTTCCTCGGCCCGAAAACGTCCGTACCTTCAGAATCGACAGAGTTCGAAAAGGCTTTGAGCGCTATCGCCAGCATGAAAGCGTTACGGCTACTACGCTTGACGAACCCGCCCAACTATCGCAAAGCTTATCACCGCCAAGGAGAGTTCATGCGCTTCTTCCGTCGATCACTTGAGAGCGGAGAGCAACGCTACGCGTTCCAAGCCCGAGCGGACAGCATCGTGCGATACATGGGTGACCGTGGCTCGAACATCAAGCTCCTCGCATTCTCTCCCATTGGATTGCTGACAAAAGCTGCCACGGCGGACAAGAACGGCCATGTTTGGCCCGAATACTTCTACTCCTGCGAGCGGATGAAGGGAAATCGAGGTACGGAGATCTCAATCGCGAGGGCAGTGAGGGACTGGAAGGCAGAGATGCCGGAGGCTACTATCTTAAACGAGGGATGAGTTCGATCATCCTGGAGCCTACATTGGCCTTGGCTGGACTACTTTGCATGTTTGCATCTTAATGTAAGCTGCAGATCTGTTCAGGATTTTCCGGGTATGACGCGATGCAACGACGAGCTTGCGCATACGTATGCAGTGTACAGTAGTCGTGAGAGACGATCCAAGTCAAACACCTTCGCAATGTCAAATGCGCTCGAATGCATCACGATAGCTATCAGAAACATTGCGCGTCAGTGTATTCCATTCGCCCGTGTCGTACCTCTTCTGATCTGTGGCTGCAGGTGGCGTTGCCTGTTGCCTGATGCCTGGAGTGAAACTGGTCTAGCGTAATGCATAAAGGCAAGTACAACTGCGCAATCCCCAGATGAACATCCCGCCTGCCTGTCCATATTCCCCCACCACCCCGTCACTCGCATTATGGCAAACCTCCTTGCACTACCAGCAGAGATACTGCGCACAGTTCTGATACACGCCGTCGACGTCCGAGGTCTCAAGCGAGGGTTACGATTGAGGCTGGTGAACAGTATGCAACAGCGATTAACGCGTAGCTGTAATGCAGCCTGCTAATCTTTTCTGCAGAGGAGTTCTCTCAACAAGTGAAGGATGCGCTTCAAGAATCCGAGCTACTTGACGACGTACATGGATATCGCTTTGGCTTCTCCCACTCTCCCGAGTTTGTCACCTTTTGGCAGACATTCCTCACCAACAAGATCATAGGGAAGAAATGGGCCCATGTGGACATATGCGAACGCATATATCGCGCCGCCGAGCGTCTTCGCCGGATTAGCCATCCCCAGGAAACTAACGCGAAAACACTTCACACGATCTTGCGACAATATATCCATGGCTTCTGTTGCAATCCAGTGCGCATACTGTCGAGAGCACGTTCTAAAGATCCAATTCAGTGTCGGATGTACGATCAAGCATGCCTTCTGGAGATGGCTATACTCAACGACTGTCCAGAGGGAGTAAATTCTCTGCTCAATGACCCCATCTTGGACGAGATCATATCGCATTGTCTCGATCCCTGGTCCAATCCGTGCGGGACGCGTGAAAATGGACGATTTACAATGGACTGTAAACAGGACCTTGCCTCTCTTGCCGCTGAGAACGGAAACACGGCGTTACTCGAAAAGGTTTTCCTGCATCCGAGTTACCAACAAGAGTCAATATATCACCGACATGAAGTCGTTGAGGCTGCATTGAGAGGGGGCCATTTGGACGTACTGAGGTTCATCATGGAGCCGCGTTGGGACTTGCCCGGAAAGGGGCCATATCGCACTCACAGTTTGAATCAGCATATACTGGTGTCCGGGGTCTTCAAAAGTCCATCGGCCGATTTCGTCACTCAGCTCCTTGGCCTGATAGCCTCTCGTCCGATGAAAACCCATGGTATCGAAGCCGTCCATCCTGGACACGACACACTCTTCTGCCTCGTCGCACGGAAGAGCCCGCAAAGAGTCGATGTGGCAGAACGACTTCTCGAGCAAGGAGCTTTACCTAAACAGAAGGCGCATGTCAAGAGACGAGGAGCTGAAGCCTCCTACACTGGTTCTGACAGTCTGCTTGAACACGCCATCAAAGGTGGCAACGAGAAGATCCTTCGCCTGCTTCTGAATCGTGGTGCGGATGCCAGGGTCCTTGACAACGATACTTTGGAAGTAGCCGTAAAACGAGGGCGTCTGGATATAGTGCGCATGTTGGTAGAGAACGGTACGCGTGTCACACCGCGGCTCCCATCGAGTGGTCGCAAGGAGCACTGGAGGTGGACAGAAGACAGGCTGATGGCGCACGCCGTGCTTACGGAGAACGAGGCACTGTGCCGATACCTGGTTGAACGTGGAGCTATCGTCAATGAACATGCCTTGTGGGCGGCTGCCAATGCATCGCTGGTATCAATGGTTCGATTGCTGGTCGACGTCGGGGCCGAGATCAATGAGCAGATGATCGAACGCGCGAAACGTTACAGTCATCCGGACGTTGCGACCATACTGCAAGCCCATCACAACAGCACCTAAAGTCATCACCCTCCTTCCAGAAGCGCGTTCTTCCGCTCCCACCTCCAACCACATCTCGGCGCGCCCGTGCCTCCGGCAAATCAACCGACCAAGCGAGAAAGCGAAAAACGCACGCCCACCCCAGGAAACTTCCGCGTGCCAAAGGACCTACATCGGGCGCCGAACCCTGCTGGCGATTCAAAATTCAATAGCCCATCAACAAGACCGTCAAGACGCGTCGCGCGCACAGAAGTCCCTGCACAGCTTGTTCAACTCAAAAAGATTTCTCAACACGTAACTTTGGCGAAAGAAAGCTATCGAACAATATTTGATTTGCGCAGGGCGGTGAGAAGAGAGAAGAGGCACTAAGCGCGCAACGCCCATGCCCATGCGGATATGTAATCGTCAGATCTGACATTTTAGCACCGACCGTGTCCGAGTTAAGGGAACTGGGAAACCGCTGTTGGATACGTGCTGTCAGCGAGATTCGAGAAGACATGCGAACATGGGGATATCCTGGTTTGAGCTGGTGAGCCGCATGGTCCTGGTAAGAAAGTGGTGATTGTGGTCACGAGGCCTAATGTAGATTTGACAATACGACGTATCCCTCCTTTCGTGGCGCTCGAACCTGGACGCGCCTTTTCACCTAGCCAACGTACGTGACGGTGACGTTTTCCATCGCGCATCACGCGCTAGACCGCGGGATAGACGTTTACTACCGTGGTGGTCTGTTACGGCTGTTGTTTCTCCTCTGGCTGGCGGACCATACACGCGGTATTTTCATCTCTAACTATATTTCCCACCGTCCTTCTCCATCTCCCATAGCACATCACCCACACACCCTCCCATCACCCTTCTCATCTCCCATCCCACCCCATCCATCCCATGCAATACCTTCATAATCCCTCATCCACTTCCTTAGCATAGAGCCCGTTCCGCTTTACGCCCACCTCCGAAGCTAAGAGGCGGCTGTTTCACATCATCCCTGACCAGCACATACGGCACTAGCAGAAAGGACAGACCCATGAGGGTCCCTGCGTCAAATTGATCAATGGAAACTGACTCACGTACTAACGACGTTTGTTTCGAAACTAGCTAGGGTAAGGCGACAGGCTGTAGCGAGTCTAGTGATGAGTGGGGAATTCGAGTGATGGGTGCTGGGTGCTGGGATAAATTGGTAGCTTGGTAAGCTTGGTACTTGGATGATGATGTGGTGATGCGGTGATGGAGGGAGAGGAGAGGAGAGAGGAGAGGAGAGGAGAGGTATCCTTGGGGTGATCATGGAAAAATTGCGATACGATGGTTAATGTTCTCATGCGTGGGTTTTTGCCCGAGATGTTGTGAAGGACGGTGCGTAACTGGACTATTGCTTTCAAGATCATCACCACAATGCGTCGTTCTCGCATGAATTGGATATTCTGTCCATGTTGACAAGCACCTCCACATCCCGAATCACCCTCATCACTCAAGACCCTCAAGATCACCAAGATCACCAACTTCACATCTACATATCACATCTATCACACCTGCCAAACCCCCGAAGTCCCTCCGTCTTGTCCTTGTCTATCGTTGATGCGATTTGCCCGCCAAACGCGGTGTTCGTATAGTCTCGTGACGCCGTATCCTCGCTCAATCCCGCTTTCCTCATCAATCTGTTACATAGGGCTGCATATCCCGATCTCAAGTAGATCTTCGATTTTGCGCTCGTGCAGGCATGTTGATACAAAAAACAGTGGGGAGAGAGAGAGATCAACATACATCCGCGGAGGAGCAAGTTTGCGATGACGAAATGATGGACAGGAGAGGTGAATATCACAATTCCTCCTCCCACCTCCTAGCATGTTGAGAGGTGTGATGCGCGTCATTGCTATTGTCGCGTGTGTGTGTGTGTTGGGCGGAGAACAGGGGGGTGGAGGCATGATTGGCATTGCATACATACGTGTAGTCTCACGTGTGCGGTGTGAGGTTGAATCCGGTGGTCTTGGTATACCGGGGGGCTAGACTGTCTCGGTGTCTTTTCTGCGCATTCGTTGTCTGAGGTACATGTATGAAGCACACCGACTTGCAGACTAGAAAAATACGATGTGTTGTCGTCCAATAGTCTTCCGTAGTCTAGTCGGTCAAACTAACGTATTGTCGCGTGTCACCAATCAACGCATGCAAACCACGTAGTCACGACACCGAAACCATCATAGTTTGTAAAATCGGTGCAAAAATTGAACATTCTTATTGTGGCAGCTAGGGTAAAGTGCGTCACTGTGCGTGAGCGCTACTCCGATTCAACTGTTGTCCTGCCTCTCTGTCGCCGATCCCACTAGACATTTGCGCGTGCTTAACAGAATTAACACACAACCCTCAACAAATCGAAAAAGGTATTTCCTCCACATTCGGGATATGCCAAAACAAGAACCAAAAAAAGATCCACCGCCTCAAAAAGGAGTCTCGGTTTCAGTGGCGAAGTAGAAAGAGAGAACAAAAAAAAGGAAAGGAAGAAAAGTGAGAATGGTCATGAGACATGGTGTGTTTCAAGACGGCCTCAGCCACGTATAGCAAAACAGTTGCTTTGCCGAAAATGCCCATCATCCTTGAACTCATATGAACATAATCTCCAGAATAGACTCAAACTCAAGGTTTGAGAAGATGGTAAAAGGAAACAACATATGGAAATGGCGGTGCGTGCGTGTGTCTGGGTATAACCCTGCCGGTCCAAGATTAGACCGCTGGCGCTTTTTACAAAGACGTATTGAAATCAAACATTGCGAATACGAAGGGGTAATAAGTTGCAGTGTTGAAAGCGAACCTGCATGGCTGAAGAATAATAGTGGTAAAGCGAGAGTGATGTTGCGCCGTAAAGATGAGAATAAGTTGCAAGTTTGTCGCTGAAATAGTAATTATCGAGATCAAAGCCGAGGCCGGGTATCATCATGAGTGAAATAGATCCCAAGCTCTTGCGCACAGTCCAATGAATTCTTCCTTCTTCTTGAGTTGAGTTTCTGGTGAGTC